TATATATATATATATATATATATATATATATATATATATATATATATATATATATATATATATATATATATTAAGGTGGAATATTTTGGACTCATCAAAAAGATAATTCGACCACAACCACGTTCATGACATCTCTTTGAACGGTTCAAAATGGAGGAACAGTTTTGACTTTTGTCTTATCAACTTGCGTACACGAGAAATGCAATAAATTGGAATCTTTTACTCCTCATCTTAATTTACATTAAAAGCTGTTGTCTACATTTCATAAGCCAAAGTGATCCCCCAAGCTCGAGAGGATTGGCCACGAAAGCACTCTTCCGTGATGTCTTCACTCTCCTGTTCTCTCAGCTTCCTCTGTCAACGCTGAGGTCTGCAGACCCTGCACGAGTCTCCATTTCTTCTTGTCTCATATGCCGGTCCTCGATGAATCTCGACAGCAAATGGTGACTTGTACCGTACGGTGGTGGTGCTTCGAGGAATGAGTTCACGTTTGTGCAGGTCCAGCTATCAAGATGAAGCTCATTTCCAGGGATTCTACTTCCTTTGTTTGACCTGGTCAATTATCTAGAACGTACTAATATTAACGATGCCAATCAGACAGACTCCCCAAGAATGATCTGTCCTCGTCTCTTCTTCTGCTTGTTCGCGTTCAGAAATGGGCTGAAAACAAGAGAAGGCAGCCATCGTCTTCAATGCCTCTCTCTTATCTCTTCTGCCCAAGGGTATCTATCATGAGATCAACGTCGTGACTTGTAATGAATTAGGTATTGAACTATCACAATGTCCATGCCTTCGTTTCAAAGCTCTCGATTTCCTTCACCTTCTTCGCTTCGATTCCATGCCTTGTTTCATTGTGATTGCTCAAACTACTAGTCTTTTCTGCGATTTGCATGTTGGTATTTTGCAGTGGCTAATGGCTACAGCTAAGGTCGAAGGAGTGCAACAGAAGAAGAGAATTTTGAGTGCCCAACCTAAGAACAACAATGCCAACGGGAGAGACACCACCAAAGTTTACTACCAAAGGTTTTTGCTTCCTACGATCCCTGAGAAACCCACACCGAACTATCTTAAGCCAACCATTAGCTCGTGCCATGGCACCAGCTCCCAACAGCCCAAGATATCTTCATCAGCAGGTGGTGCTGCTGCAAAACGTGGAAGCCAAATGAACGTGTCTCACTCACCGTCTTCCCTACCTCAACGACCTCCCACAGCAATCCGCCCAAAGGAGAGAGCAGCGAGAAGTGGGCCGTCAACGATGGCAAACATGGCTCGAAAACGAAGCTTGGCGAAAGCTTCGAAAACTCCGGCAGGCGGGAAGGCTGTTCCGCTCGTGAAGACCGCCAGAATCCTTCCAAAAGTCATGTCTTCCACCGCCGCTGCAGTCAAACCCGAAGAAGAGAAGTTGATGGACGTCGTCAGAGGCAATGAGGCACGAAACCTGGCAAAGAACGTCGAATGTGAGCAGTATTCGAGGAGATCAGAGTCCAAAGCCAAGAATGTAGATGAGCAGATGCCGGGAAGCCAAAGGGATGAGGCGGAAGGAAGAGGAAGCAAGAGAGAAGGCGATGGAGTAGACAAGGCAGCGCAAGAGACCATGGAGTCGAAGAGGCAGGCGGCGGTGAGCTGGAGGAAGGAGACGGCACCGGCTCACAACGCTGTCATAGAGGAGGAGACAGCCGACAAGCTGGCGGCGAGGGGGAGCAAAGTGAAAGCGCTTGCCGGGGCGTTCGACACCGTCGTCTCGTTACAGAAGCCGGAGGGCAGATGGGGTCAGCAAGAGTCGGTGACGGCGGCGGATAGTAGCAGCAGCGGCAGCGGTAGCGGAGCTGCTCGACCCGGCGGGGATCAGATAGAGGAGGCAGCACGCAACGAAGATGTGCCGGAGGAGGTGAAGAAGAAAGGTGAACGGGCTACAGCGTGACAAAAGCGTCGACAAGGTGATTCAAGAGAGGATAACGAGTGGAGATGGTAATAACAAACTGTCCAAGTGTCCAACCCATCGCTCCTCTTTACGAATGAATCTAAAAGAGCACATTCGTCCCAGGCATTGCGTTTAGCGAGGAGCGTGCACGTGTACGGCCAGACGCGCCCGGTAGAAGGAACGCGTCGTCGCGGGACCCACACTCACGCGGGACGCTCCGCGTGCTTTCCGCATGTGCCCAAAAACGGAGACCCCGAGGGCGTGGAAACGACGCATCATAGAATTGGAATTGGAATTGGAATTGGAATCGAACACGTACTTGGTTTTGGATAGCCGTCGGTCGATCGGTCGTTAATACCTCACTTTCTTGCCGATACAACCAGTAGTGACGTGTGTAGGTAGAAAGTCACGGTAATGTTACAGTCTCCAAACGCTACTTTGTGCAAACCTAACAATGGAAGGTTCCGAGCATCCTACGGTCATGCTTTTTCTTCCTTCACGATGGCTGGACAAGATTAGGGGAGAAGATATAATATACGTACATGGAATGAGGTTTAAAACGGTGAAGACGTGGACGGGATCGGAGGTGGGGTCCTCGGCCGACCGAACGCATGGATGAATTTGACGGCACGCGACCGAGACCGTCCTACAAATTGACCCGGTAGTGACGGCCAGTGGCATGCCGAAACGTGTGCTCTAAACGGAAACCTGAAGACGTGACAGCTTTCCGTTCCTCACACCTCTGCGTTTGAATATATCTTTTCTTTTTCAATTGTAAAAATGATTTATTTAAAATTTCATTGGGATGATGAGAGAGGGGTGGGGCGGCGGTGGCGTTTCATCCCTTGTTTGCTCCTCCCCTCTCGTTGTCATATCCGGTGTGCGATTGGGTGGAATGCGAGGGGACCAAGGGAGAGTGACGACCGCGGTGGTCCTGTGTAATTGCCAAAAGCAGAGGGGTCTGGGTTCGCACCCGTTTATTCCTATGTTTACCTTCGGTGACCGTAGCAGATGGGAGATGTTTACCAAGCGAGCCAACCGTTCCAAGAAAAGAATCCCGCGAGTGACGATATCAGACAGCACAACACAGATAGAAGAAGAGAGCCGCCTGCGCGTTATAAAAGAGAGGAGAAGGTGAAAATCTAAAAGCGAATCGACCCTCACTCCGCGAGGAGAGGGAGTGGAGATCGGGTGTGCATCGGAGACGAAGAGTCGAAGGACTGGCAGAAGCAGGGCGGCTGGGGTCGCAGGGCTCCAGCCGGCGACGGAGGATAAGAGCCCAGGTCGTGTCTTGGTGGCGCTTGAAGGTTGTCTTCCCCGTCAAGCGAGCTTGGCTCGCCGTCTCCTCCCGCGTCAGGTCCCAGAAACACGGTTACTCTCTCTCTCTCT